CACGCAAACGCACTTTCCACCAAGGCCGTGCAAATCCACATGGCACTGCGACATCACGAACGTAATTTCGCCACACGGTCTGCGCACACACTACAAGCAATCGTGTCACACGATACCACCAATCATCCCGCTCACCAGCGACACGCCGCGTTTACACCAGCACCAGTGGCACGGCGCCACGCAAACGCACTTCCCACCAAGACCTCGCAAATCCGCATGGCGCTGCGACATCACGAACGGAATTTCGCCACACGGTCCGCCCCACACTATATATGAAGCAAACATATCACACGATACCGACACGCCGCGTTTACGCCAGCATGCTTCGCGCTCCCCACTGGCACGGTGCCACGCAAACGCGCTTTCCACCAAGGCCGCGCAAATCCGCATGGCACAGCGACATCACGGACGTAATTCGCCACACGGTCTGCCCACACACTAGAAGCAATCCTATCACACGATACCGCCTCCCGCTCACCAGCGACACGCCGCGTTTTCACCAGCATGTTTCGCGCTCCCCAGTGGCACGGCGCCACGCAAACGCACCTTCCACCAAGGCCGCGCAAATCCGCATGGCACTGCGACATCACGAACGTAATTTCGCCAAATGGTCTGCCCACACGGTCCCGCGCGGCCAATTCTGAGTCCAGATCCGAAAAGCTCTTTCCCGTACTTTATTTGTAATCCTGTCCACCTATTAAAAAACATGCGGTCCCCCCCATTAAGAGAAGCTCGGTCGCACGTTTTTTAATAGGAGGTCCCTGAAATTGGGGGGGTCCAAAATAGGGTCACCTGGGAAGAGCTTCAAAACCAAAAAGTCATCCAGAAAAACTTATATATCTTTCTTTTAACTCGTATCAAACATTAAAAAACCTCCAGATCGAAGGGTCTTCCTTTCCCCCTACAAACACCTTTATTAGAATACTGATCCTTCATTAGACTAACAACCAAAGCTTTCGAAAGGTGATGTCGCTGCGCCATGCGGTTTTTTGCCCGACCTCGGTGGCAAGTGCGTTTGCGTGAGTCCGTGCCATTGGAGGAAGGAAAACCTGCTGGTGTAAACGCGGCGTGTCATGGTGTCAGGGCGGACAGATGTGGGCAGTTACGGTTGTTTTTGGAACTGAATAAAAGAAATTACCCCCCAAATCGACCATGTTGGTAGTTTAGTAGCGGCTTGAAAGGGCGGTAATTTAAAAACAAAAATAAACCCACTTTAGGGCTTCGGACGGGGGTGTTTTTTAAATTGGTGAAGCTGAAAGTGAAGCGCCAAGTCTCCAAAACGAGCGCTTCGTACGAGACCTCCTCCAAAAGTGAAGCGCCAAGTCTCCAAAGCCAGCGTCTCATACGAGACTGCCTCCAATTAAGTGAAGCGCCGAGCGTTTCGTACGAGACCTCGTCCAAAAGTGCAGCACCAAGTCTCCAAAACCAGCGCTTCGTACGACACTTCCTCCAAAAATGAAGTGCCAAGTCTCCAAAAACAGCGTCTCGTACGAAACTTCCTCCAAATCTCCAAAACGAGCGTTTCACCACACGTTTGAGCACTCGACACGCACGATCCCCGCAGAGGGTC